CCCTTGAATAAAGTTGGCTCAAATGTCCCACTGATCCTGTATATGATGTGTGCACAGAAAATCTTTCACAGACCATTTCCCACATAAACTGGTGAAGCAGAATGTGAAGAAAGTCCGTTTTTTGTACTTTAATTAAAGGTGTTTTCTCTCTGTACTAAGGCACAATTGGCTTCTTTGCCTGTTTTTGGTTTGTTACCAAGACCTACAGTGTGTTCAATGTGGACTGATGGACTCACACAGCTGACTGGATGACACTTTCTCCCATCAACCTTTGGAACATCCAACTCTGTCAAAGTGAATTGAACATTACAAGCTCTGTTCAACCTTCACATCCTCATTTCCTCAGATTACTTTTGTTCTTTCTTTTGTGTGCCTAAGATGTTTGTGTGTGAGCATGTGTACACTGAGTTCCAAGTTTTGTAAATCTGCCTGTATCTGTATCTGGATACAATCTGAATGAAATGCATTGTGACTGTAACTGTTTCTTCCTAGACACATAGAAATATTGTTCATACTGTGTCAGCCTCATCCAGTACAGTGACCCACGGCTGGACTGTCCAGAGATTGCATCATGTGTCATGAGATACAATTTTGGTTTTTGATTCCTGCAATTTGTGTTTACAGCGTTACTTGGAAATCAGTCAGACAAATAAAGCTGCAAGGGTTTACTTCTTACCTATTTTTTCAGAATGGTTATTATATTTAAATAAAATATTGAAATGAAATATTTCTGTGAAATTCTAAACTGGTCTGACATTCAGGGTTAAAGCACAACTTGCATTTCCAGGTCATAAAGTTATTGCACTTTTTCCGCCTGGACAAATTCAAAACGACTACCTGCAACACTCTTATTTTGAAATAATAAAATCTGTCCCATACAACTGGACATGAACTGCCAATACTACACTGACTGAATTTGATAACTTTGAGCTGATTTGTGTCATGATGAAGAGTATAGCCTAAAGTGTTAACACTTTATGTGAGGTACAAGCAGCCAGAAGAGATTTAACTGACAACGAAAAGTCAAAAACTGTGAAATACCTGTCTGATGGATGTAAAACTCTTGCAATAGCTGAACATGACCACCAGACACACATTGTTTTTAATAGTCAACCATGCCATTAAAAAAACCCATGGATAAAGCTACCAGGACTGCCACTACTACATGGCAGCACACAGAATATATATGATTGACAGGTTGAAACATCAAGCTTGGTTCAAGAATTACCTGATGACCAAAGATTTTCTGGACAGATGAGATTAGAGTGACTCTCGATGGGCCCGATGGATGGGGCCACGGCTGGATCACCAGCAAGATGATGGAGGAGTGCTGGTATGAACTGCTATCAGTTAGAATGAGCAAGGACTTCTTAGGTTGAAGATGGACAGAATTTGACTCCTACTGCCCATTTGTCTAACATACTTTCATCAAGCTGGGATACAGCAAGAGGTCCACGGTTTTCAAGAATGTTATGCAGGACAGTGCTCCATTACTGCCTTACTGACCAGCCAGCAAAGGCCTCAAAGATGACCGACTCGTGGCCAAAGTCCGTTTCCTCACCCAACTTTAATCCTATTAGGAACTTACGGACCCTTTTCCAACGTAGGGTTTACAGTGAAAAATACACCTTTTTGAACAGCATTTTATTCTTAGCCTGTTAGCAAACACAATGTAATTACAGTTTTTGAGGAGAGCAGCCTGTGGTTGCTGCTTCAGCAAAAATTGATCACGATCAAGAAACAGACTCTGCGAATGGGGAGGCTCATGGCAGTGAATGAAAAGAAGAAGGACTTTTATTGGCCACTGAATATTTTTGAAAGACAGAGACCAGAAAGTGCTATTTGGACCAGTCCTATTAGTTATTATAACTATGAACAATAAGCAACAACAAATTACCCTTCAAACATCAAGCCGTCTTGTATCTCGATCTCTGTCTTGACAATCCGGCATAAAAGATGGTTTTACATTTAGTGTTGGATTATTGAGTCACAGCTGTATTTGTTTTGTAATAATAATATTAATCCTGACAAATATTATTTCCCTTATAATTGTGAAGTTTTAGCAAAATACAGCTGAGGCTGGTTACTTCACAGTTAAGCAAGTCATTCAATTGTCCGTATCACATCTTGCTTTGGGTGCTGCCCCTGTAGCTGCTCCACAACCATCTGCCCATAAGATTCCCTGTGTTCTGACAGATCCTGACAAGCTGCAGAGAAGCTGGACAGACCGAATGGTATTCTGAAACCTACCAAGTGGCTGTAGAACTTTGACTGCTCTTAAGGATCCTGCCTAGTATGACTATGAGGTGTGACAAAAATAGACGGGACATTGGTTGTTAATCACATGGTTCAGCAGCCACAATGTAAGGAGTTACATAACAGTGTTGCTACACCTCAACGCTGTATGAGAAAAGCAACACTTGAATTGACCTATTATCTTTTTTTTCCTAGGTGAGTTTTTAGCTCCAGTCAAGTGTGCGCTGTCACAGAATGAACCCTGAGCAAAGTAATATTCAATTCAATTTTGTTTATATAGCGCCAGTTCACAGCACATGCCATCTCAAAGAACTTCATGTAATAAGCTCAAGACCTTACAAATACACTGTTGTTGGATTCCCTTTGTCAAGCACTTGGCAATAGTGGGAAGGAACAAAAAGCCACCTCTGAACCATGAAGGACAAAAAAAAAAAAACTCAAATCAGACAGAACCAGACTCAGGGAGGGTGGCATATGCCTTGAATGGTTGGGGTGAGAGTGGGGATGAGGGGGGTGGTGAAGTGCTTGGGGTGGGATCTTAGGTTTTCCAGATGAATGTGTGGGTAATCTTTTTCTCCATTATTCCATTTACTTTGTGTGAAGAACCAGTTCCAAACAGCTCCAGCCTCAAAGCATAATACTGTCACCACCATGCTTGATGGTAGGTGTGGTGTTCTTGGGGTTAAAGGCCTCACCCCCCTCTTCTCCAGTTTATGTTTCATCTAACGACAGAACTCACCTCCAGAAGGTATTTTCTTTGCCAGTGTGATCAGCAGTAAACTTCAGTTGAGTCTTCCTTCTTGCATGGCAGCCTCTACACTTTGTGATGCAAAACATACTTGACTGTGGACACTGACACTGTTCCAGTAGCTTCTAATTCATTACAGGCCCAGTTCTTGTTGATTCTTGGTTGACTCGTGACCATCCAGACTGATTGTCTCTCAGCTACAGGTAATAGGCTGTGTTTTGATCCTGATCATGGCACTGACACAACTGTACCACACACTTTATACTTAAAATGGATGGTATAGATGGTTTTGGGATCTGTAGCTGGTTTGAAATTACTCCAAGTGACTTTCTGATTTGTTCAAGTCAGTGATTTGCTTTTTCAGATCTTTGCTGAGCTCCTCAGACTTTCCAGTTGTAGTGATTTGGCTGAGTCTAATGCTTGGATCAAATGGACCTTATTTAAATTTGCACGGAGGAGTCAGTAGCTGTAGTCAACTGTAAACACTCATGAGAAGTTAAGAGGTAAGAGGCTGTACATATATTTTTGACCCAGCAGATTTAATTTAGGCTAAATTCAGAACAAAACACAGACATTTCTTTCGCTTGCGTGCCTATCGTACCTCAGTGTCTGTTTGAATATGAGTAAGTTTCGTTTTATACAAATGGCCATTACAGGCCAAACAAAACACTAAACATTAGCTAGAGAGATCATTTTTGGTCTTCTCTTTACTGAATGTGAATGTGAATTTTACTTTGAAGAAATATGCAATAAATGGTGAAATTATCCTAGCAGCCATCTGTTGAGGCAGCAGCATCACAGCCAGTGACACTAAGATTCTGAATGAACTGATAAAGAAGGCTGGTTCTGTGATGAGGACTGCTTTGGAGTCCTTGTAGTTGGTAGGTCTATCTATCTTGTTCATATGGAGGATAATCAAAATAATCTCGTTGGGATAATTCATAAGAACTTAAAGAAGATACATGTGTTTGGTCACATAACCTGAACTACCATCGCTTGCACATTCCTATTCGTTAATGTAACTGGGTGTAATTCAGGCTTTTGCCATGTTGAAAGTGATATGGAAATGTTACTAGCTCAGAGGTGGTTCAGATGATCTGGAAGAAACACAGCAGACTGGAGTCAACTATGTTACCAAACATGTCTTGGTGACATAGCTGACATATTGTGACATTTTGAAAGATGCTGTCCTGTGGCTTGAGTTTTCACATTTCTGATTCTGAGAAACTACATCCTACTTTGTCCTTTTAAAATTTTGACAGTGCGTATATGTCATACATAATCATATGTCAGCTGAGTTCTGGAAGTTTGATGCACTAGTTTGTTTGTTTTTTTTACTATTATGGAAGAGTTGTGCCTCATCTAAACCAAAACACTCCATCTGGTTTGCTGTCATCACAACATTATACAAGCTCAGGTACAGGTCCTTCTTCTGAACTATTATTCAGCTACACTTCTCAGATTCCCACTCAATGGCATCTGCACTGCAGTTACTTGGACTCCTTCCTTTACCTTTGCTGGCTTTGACAGAATTACTGTGGCTGTCCTTCATCCTGTGCCAACCACAACTTAGTTGGAAACATCAGTCTCATCTGCTCCACAACTAAGGTAAGTGAGGTCAGTGCACATTCCTTGTTACATTTGTATGCATCATCCAGGTATTACATGATCTCTTGATGGTTAGGAAGAATGAGATAAGGTGAGTTGCAAATGTAAGGTTCAATGAATTCTGGACAATCTCTTCTTCCCCGTCACCCAGAATCTCAGCAAGTAAATTGTTTAAGAGATGACTGTTGGTTGCCAGGCCACTTTATCATATTGCTTCACTCATATCATACATCATTTTATTTACATTATATCCCAATCTACCACACTCATGTAATGCCTACCATGTCTGACTGTCATCCACAGTCCAGAGAACCAGCATACTATCTCTAGACTACATCATACTAACTCTCTCACTAACTTTAGATATAGCCAGAGAGCAGCTCAGTCATTTTTTGTGTACGAAAAAGGAGCACTTTATTGGTTATATGCATAGTCATTTAACGTCAGTTCATCCAAATTTCAACAGACATTTTTCCTGCTTGAGTGACTTTAAAAAATACTAACATTATTATGCTGTTTTACTGATGGAGGAAATAAACTACTTTTGAAATATCCACCAAATGACATTTCTGTAATACAGTACAGGTGAATGGATTTTTATTTTTTGGTACCCACATAAAAATTTTATTATGATATTTGAACAGCTCAATACATGTCCTTCCAGTGTAGTGGAGTGGCAGAACTTTCCTATGTCTCCTCAAACAACATGTGCAAAATAACTAAAACATAATTTTTTGGAATGTGGGTGAACTGACCCTTTTATAAAAACTAACCTATAGCCTTTAAAGAAACAAAATGGAATAACCATAAGAATCCAAGAAATAAGAAAGACTGTGAAATCTACAGAAGAGTGCACACTGCTGATACTGCTCGGAGTCCCTATCAGGAAAACTAAACTCTGCTGGTGGACCACCGTACAGACAGAGCACTGGCAAGAAAAATCAGGCATCAAGCGTTTGTCAACATGGATCTTTCTGTGTGGACAGCCTGTGGACATCAGGTTCATCCTGGGGCTGCTGCCACAACAGAGATCAAAGGCTGTGGTTTATTGGAGCTCGACTAGCAGGTCTCCTTCTCCCACCGTCTCCCCTGGCTTACAGTGGACACTCTTAACCTGGAGGGCAAGTTAACACAAACTCAGATGGTTAAACTTTTAAATGGAACATTTTTAAGAGGTCAGTACAGCAAATGTATTTACACTGAACAAAAGCCACAAACTAATGCTACTTGTTGCAGTTACATAAATATGTGTCTAATCTACCATACATAATTATATATGAATAAATAAAAACATTTTCCCAAATGCACCAGTGAATGCTTCTGTATATTCGTTAGAAGGGATGCACTGACTTAGAAAAATGCTGACTAAAACCTATGAACGAGATTCTGTTACTGCTGATGTAACAAGAACTGTTGTGTTATATATACGCACGTGGACAAATTGTTGGTACCCCTCGGTTAATGAAAGAAAAACCCACAACGGTCACAGAAATTACTTGAATCTGACCAAAGTAATAACAAATAAAAATTCTATGGAAATTAACCAATGAAAATCAGACATTACTTTTGAACTGTGGTTCAACAGAATTATTTAAAAAAAATAAACTCATGAAACAGGACTGGACAAAAATGATGGTACACCTAGAAAAGACTGAAAACAATGTGACCACAGGGACATGTTCAATCAAGGTGTGTCCTCTAATTAGCATCACAGGT